GGTCGGGACGGGATAGGGAATGGTCCGGCAGACACCATGGCAGAGTCCCTCCCACCGGTAATGCATCTCCCAGGCGCACAAAAGCGGCATCGAGCGGTGACGTCACCCAGCTGAGATGACCTCGCCCCGGCACTTGCCTACGGCCCCAGCACTATACCAGCGGTGTGCGATATTGGGAGAACGATCATCGCACGGCGAGTCTCACTGCATACCAAAAGCACAGTTCAGATAAGGAGCGTTTCACTAAATTGAGATCCAGCCGCCTCAGTAGACAACGAACTGATCATCAGCAACGGGGAGGCCAGTCGCACCACTGACCATCGGCATTAGTGAAGAGTGATACAGGTAACTGCACTGGCAATGAAACCAGTCAGCCCAGTGGTATTGAACACTACACTGACTGGTTTTCCTGCACTACGCGGCGACCCTGACCGCTGGGCTGTAATCTGACCGCGACCGACCCGCGACCGGCCGGCGGGCACTGGCCTGAGGTAGGAGTCGCGCCCGGGCACTGGCCCTAAGTAGGAGTCGCCCGCGCCAGATGCCGCCCAGGTACCACACAGAACTTCGACCAAATACGCCATAATAGCGGCAGCCGGTTCCCACGACCGCCGCCAGCCAAACTGACAGGCGCAGGCCAGGAAGTGGAAGACGCCGCATCACCGCCGCCCTGGTCAGACAGTCTTCGCCTCCCATAGATGGCTATATGAAGAACGCGCGATTGCAAACAATATGTAGTAGACGAAAGTTAATAGGAAAACATTAGAACATGCGTGAATGGCGATTTACTTGCACGATTCGAGGACGCGTTCACAACCAGTTCGTAGCAGCTCAAAACTTGTAGGTACGCAGGCGTTCAAAACACGCACGCAAGCGTTCAAAACATTTTCGCTAAGTAAGATCGAAGCGAAGCCATTATGCGGTCAACAGTGCAGTAGCTAAGCCCGGGCTAAGCCTTGTACTTTTACGCGATACTGCACAAGGCCAAGGCAAAAACAGGTTCTCATAAGTCACCGGGAAACTCCCAAACTTCACCACCTTTTCCACAAAAGGTGCCAAAATATCAAATGCGGCTTTGGCGAAATATGGCCTCCCACTTTGGACTACAGACTAAAAATAGCACAAATATGTGCCCTGTGTTTCCTTCTACAATGGCTGCAAAGTGATAAGCTCACATCGACTTTCTGTCGATTTGTTGCCGGACAGCGTCGCGGCCGTCTCAGTACCGCTACACGCTGGACAGCCGGGCGCACCACGTCGTCGCGTCCAAAGCATAATGGCCCCGGATACACCATTCCTACCAGCAATGGGACAAGCAGACCCCACCGACCCCTCCCGCCGGTCACGAACGCCGCCTGGAGCCGCGTCCAGTCACGGCCGGGCGAGCTACACGACCGCTGTTACACTGCCGGGACCCGAAGACAGCTGTCGTCATCACGGGGTTCAATTTCACACACAGCGGGCGGTCGGCCGGCGCAGACGCAGCAATGCAGCCGACACTGGAGGGCAGCCGGCAGGCGTACCGACGGCGAGCGCTGCAAGAGCTCCGCCAGCCGCGATATGACCGGCAGAACATGATCGTCGGCTGCCGTATTCGGTGTCCTGTCACCATCATCAGAATCCCAGCAGACATATCTCAGCAAACCGCAGTCTGCAGACTGCTGGCAGCGCCGGCAGATGGCATTTGAGCCTCCCTTTGCATCCGATGTCAACAGAGCTCGACACAGGCAGCGCCGTGCCCTCGCCGGTCGTCAACGAGCGACAGCTGCCGTCTCCAGCGCAACCAATCGGGGCTCGGCCAAGGCCCTATATACCGCTCGGCGCCCGACCAACCGGCTCGCGGCGTCCCATCTGATCGGGCCGCCGGTTGAGAGTGCCACTCCTGCATACGTTGTAGAGGTGTCAATCGGAACCGAAAATTTTGGAATTCCGAATATTTCCGAATTCCGATTCGGAAATCGGACGGACAAGTGACAAACACTTCGGACATATTCGGAAAACTAGTTGAAAATAACAAATTTCTTAATTAAGTTAAAGTTCAAACTCATTTCCATTATCAAAATGCAAATTGCAAAACATGTCATCAAAATTGGCAGGGGATATGTGGTTCATACATCATTAATAATTATAGTGCAAGATGAACATAAACATAATTGCATGTAGCAGGTAGTTCTAAGTCAAATATATACCTAAATATACTTTGCCAACTTTTAACTCTAAATTTGAAAATGTGTTTACGAATGGCAATAGCCAATAGGTGACATTGTTGTCAGTAAGCCCATCATAAGATAACACAGTTATGAATATGATGTACAATCATTGACCTGTGGGAAGCACTAGACACCAAAGCAGTAAAGAAGGAAATCCAAAAATAGATTTGCCTCACTTCAAAGTTAACAGAAGATCAAGAGGCTGAAGAAAATTGCAAATATCAAGGTGTGCCAAGTAGCTCAAGAGTCTTACCTAGAACCTCCTATCATAAAATCATCCCCTTCCACCCCTTCCCCCCAAAAAATATCCGTGCCGAAATATCAAATACAATAAATGCTACATAACGCCGATAGCCTATCCAAATAAACTGATTACCAAAAGATGATGAAATGCGGCGAAAGCGTCATAAATGTCACCTAAGGAAAGATGGCCCCCGGATGAGAATCAGAGGAGACACAAAATGACGTCTTAAATAATAAATACAGTCAGTTTGCCTAACAATTGAATAATTTTCGAAAAATTATGATATTTTCCAATGCATATTGAATTTTATATTAAACAACTAATGGTCAATGCCCTTCAATAGGACAAATTATCTGATAATGACGTCATATTATTGATTTACTTTCACATCATCGACTCAAAGCCGGATACCATGTTCCATTCTACCGAGAATGGTAGCATGAAATGTGTTTCCTTTCTACCGAGGATTACAAATTTTTGCTTGTGAATTTCAGTGAATTTGTGTTAAATCATAGCAAGTATTTTCGTTTTTGTGATCGCTTATTTTGTTTCGATATTCAGAGATGTGTGGCTCACTGAAGAGCACGTTTCTTCCAGATGTACCTACCTATCTCACATGTTTCTTCTTACATGAACTTGAACTATTTTGCTTTTGCAAAAAGTGTTCTTTACATGTCAGCCAGTGTGATATAAGATGAAGATATGCATTATTGTAAGTGACTAGCTTCTTGCATTATTGCTGTATTAATTCATCATCAAGTGGCTTAGTGTCAAAAAAGGGATGCGGCAAGAAGTCAATATTTGAGAACACAAGTTTGAGGGATAAGGCAATGTTTTGCATTATTCCTGCCTACTCAGCTTCAGTTGTAGGCTGTAGCACATTTTAAAGAAGAATAGGCTTGTCTCAATATGCTGTGTTTGTGTTGTATATCAGATTAGACCTTTTGCCCAAATGCCCATTCCCTACTGCATATGATATTGTTTTAACATTTTTAGTTGCCAATATTTTGCACTCAAAACCAGATGGCGGATATCTGTTATTTAGTTATCATGTGGTACATAATAACATATACCTAATATAGATCAATTCCCCCATCCTCTCTTTCCATATCCAGCTTTCGGACAGTTTTCGGACAAATCCATGCCTTGGACATTTTTCGGACAAAAGTGAGCTAGGATTTTGGACATTGGACGGACATCGGACAAGATATTTCTGAAATTGACACCTCTAATACGTTGCCCTCAAGTAGATGCACGACGCGAGCCGTTCCCGACGGCCGGCGTCGCGCCTCGCCGAGCCGTTGTGTTTGTATGCAGGTGATTCGCTTCTCGAGCTAGTTCGACCTTCAGACAGTGTTGCAGTCAGCGTCTCCCAGCCCGATCGTCCCGCGGTAGCGATGAACTGTCACGGTACAGGCGATCACCGTCTCTCTCCCACCAGCTCTCTCAGAACGGCCACAGCCCGTCTCTGCCAGGGCGCTCACCGCGTCCACATTGGCTGAATTGCCGCAGAGCTATTTTCGTGACTGGAACAATAATGAGCCATCCGAGCCAAAAGGCGGCGCAGCAACGAGCGGTTGTGGCACGCGGCCGTGGGGGAGGGGGTCGGCTGCGGCGCCGAACCGCACCGCGGGCCCACAGAAGCCAGTCGAGGGAATCCGATTAGTGCCCATGCCGCGTGCACCGACCAGTACTCTGTCGACAGTCTGCTGGCAGTACCGGTCGAGCCGACACAGCTCCGTTTGCCGTGCCGGTTCCGTGCAACGACCTGACCGGGCGGCCACCGCTCCGCGGTCTGCAGAGAGCCCAGCTGCAGCGTCCAGCGTCCGAGCAGCCTCTCCAGCCGGCGACCGAGAGCGGCCGACCTCCAGCCGACCTACGGCTCGTTCCGCCGGCCTGCGACAAACCTGACGTCATGGCCGGGCCTGTGCAGGGCGAGGGGCCCCGCTGGGAGTCCCCACTCCACCTCTGAGAGCAGAGAACAGCAGCCCCGGGCCGAAAAACAGCCAGAGGGACTAGTTCTGGGTCATCAGCCGAACTTCACACGGCGTCAGATACCACATGATCTCAGCGGCTTGACAGGTGATGAACGACGATATCGCTGAACTTGACGGATACCACGAAGGCTAACGAACTCGGAAAATGACACCACAGCCTAGCCCAGCCAAACGCAGTGTTTTGAAGGAAAACGCTGATATTGCATGCACGTTGCGATGTTGCAGAGCTCAACACGGGACCACCGCGGCGCCGCTCGAAGGGTCTGACGGAACCTCATCCACCGTCCCGATCGGCACGCGCACCGAAAACAGCCATTTGTATGCGGAACATCGCTCAGTTGTCGTCGGGCTTACGGTCGAGGCAGAACCACATGCAGACCGATCGCACAGCCTTCTTGCATCAGTTACAGCAAAGCTTGTAGACGACGCATGTCAGTGCTTCCACCAGGTGGCGGCCGGTCGATCTGTCCGTCTCTGCGTGCATATGGTGGGTCCTGGGCGGCGCTGACAAGAGATAGCGAGAGCGCCAGGGGAGGCCGGCAAACTCACCTGGTGTGGCCGACGTCACCGGGACGTCTCCTCCGTCAGCTGCGCGCTGTCACACAGCCCCCACCACCGGGCACCTGGAACGAGAGCAATACACGTCACTCGGGTGACACACATTGTCACACAGGTGAACTCGCACAGTCACAACTCACAAGGGCCCTCGCCATCGCGCAACTGAAACGGAGACACCGCAGGGACGAGGACGACTTGGGAGCGAGGCAAAGTCCAAATTATGTACTGAATTACTACCTACTGAAGTCTGAAAATGGCCTGGCAGGAGCGAATCACCAAGCCCGATTACCATGTGGATAGGTAGCTGGAACATGACACTAGCCATCTACCTGCATTGCCGGAGAGGTAAATGTGAATTTGAATCTGTCAACTCAATACGTGGTCCTGTAACACGAGCCGTGAGTCCGACCGGGAGCCCGTGCCGGATCCCTGCGCCATTTTCCAGGCCCGAGCGAATTTATGCTGTGAACGCCCGATTTGTCCATGCATTATGCATGCGTCATGTGCGGCTAATTCGCTACAGCACGAGATTGGCCGCGAAGGCCTCTCTGACGGTCTCTGGCCGGGACTGATTGTCTCTGACGGGAGCTCTAACCGTCCGGCTAACAGACTCTATAGGTCTCTGTCTGACAGACCTTTCTGACGGCCTCTAACCGGAATGGTCTTGTCTGACTGGCCTCTCTAATAGTCTCTGCCACGTCTCTCGGATGATATATGATGGCCAGTCTGATGCGGTTGCCGAGTGGGCCACCGAAAAGCGGAATGGTCCGTCTGTTCCTCAGACAGGGGGGGGGGGGACGATCTGCATGCCTACAGCAGTCTGCATTACCACAAGGGAGGTAGCCTCTGGAGGTCTGTAAACCCCTAAGGGAGGCAGCCTCACTGGTCTGTACCGCCTCGAGGGAGGCAGTCTGACTCTGCCGGCACCAGTGTGGCTGTTGGCAGCGGCCGCGCTGCGCCGAGTCGCTCCCCGGCTCCGACCGTTCGCGGCTTCCGGGGCAGGCTGCCAGCGGCGCGGCGGCGGCTCCGGTCCCAGCGGCCATACGGCGCCGTCCCGGCCCTCCTGCCTCCCCGTCACCGCCGCGACAGCTGTGCAGCCAACAGGAGCCGTGACAGCGGCGGTGGCACTCGTGGCAGGGTGACACAGATGAGCTGATCACGAGCAGAGGCGAGGGCCGAGACCGGCGTCTCCAGGTCTCTCCCTGCAGCCGAGCCTCCCCGCCATTACCCACTGTGGTGGATAATGTAACGGGCGCCGCGAGCGTCGCGTCACAATGACCACCCCGCTCGGCGACAATCGCGGCGCAGCGCGGCGCGGTCACGGCTCAGTTACGGTCGTCGTCACAGGATGGCGCCGCGCGCTGACCGCACACGGCTCACTGGGCGCGCTGATTCGGCGGCCGTGTCCCGGCCATCAGCACCGCGACCACAGAGGCACACGGGTGTGGGGTGCACCCCGGGCCAGCAGCATGGCATGTGGAGCGGAAACGAGCCCAGCGGCCGGAAGGCGGCTTGTTCTCGTACCTGTTTCAATGTATGATCTTGTATGCCTATCTGTATTCTGTTCACGGCAAAATTAATTTAGATGAGAATTAAACATAGCAAAGTCAAAAGCATAGGCGGCAGACCGGGGGGGGGGGGCACCGAGACACCGTGCCCCCCCCCCCAATTTTGCCATTTTGACATAAGCCCTATGGGCGTTGCATGGAAAGAATGGGACCAAATGTCGGCGGTGCCCCCCCCCCCCGTAATTGAAGGTGTTCCGCCGCCACTGCTTAGTCCGTGATTGTCCTCTGCGCTAGAGCTCTTTCACGAACACTGAACAGCGGCGCACAAAGGGAGAACGCAGCAGGCCTTTCACCAACAGCGACTAGCGAGCGTGGCCCATTGAATCATATACTGCCACCACCGCCGCACATTTTCTCCGAACAGAGCCCCCGAAACTCTGCCAAAACCGCCGAACGGCCGAGACTCTGAGCACTTTCCTCTGGCACGCCGTCCAACATCATTGCGACACAAACAGCGTGGCCACAGGAAAACTCGGCCCAGATTAATTCACGGCTTTTTATCGTACAGACAGTGCGGCGACCCTGTGTTATTCGCACCGCGTGTTTCTCTTTTGTTAGCGTGTCACGCCATTGGGAGTCTTTGTTTCATCACGACCAAAAATATACACCGTTTCGGTGTTCCTATTATCTTTGGCGCCGCGTTCACTCGTGATTTGGTGTTTTTGTCTCTCGTTTTTAGCGCACGCAGACGAGCCGTACGGTACGGGTATTGGAGTGACGCTGCGCCGTTTGCACGCCGCAGACGCGCCGCAGACGGCAGAAAACAGGGGGTGATGACGAGAGCAAACACATGCTGCGTCCGTATCGTCCAGCTGGGTTTGTTCAAGACTGTAATGGTTCAGACGAGACGAGTGAGCATAAGCGGCGGCGCCACTTCTTTTCCTTCATTTCCATCCGATAACAGGCAACCTACCTGAGGACATTACAAAAAGAGGATGGATTCCCATTGATTGGTTTTCCAGCACTTTACTGTCACCGCTCAGTGGAAAGAGCACGTGACACTGGTTCAACGACAATGATAACCTGTGTTCCGCACACTGATCGCAGCATGGTGCAACAGCCTCACAACACGATTTATCAATATGCGCTGACGTTGAATAACTGCCAGCTGTTCCACGGCACCGACCGCAGACATCCGCCGTTCCCAGCAAACACCGGCAGGTAAAATAATCTACCAGCCACCACCTGCGGGACATGAGTCGTCGATTAGAGCAGAGCGGTCTCGCTGGTACCGATGGACTCGAACGCTCGACAAGACCCCTATCCAGAAACAAACGCTCGACAAGACCCCTATCCAAAACAAAATTCAGATGTGTCAATGATCTGGCGTCTTGAAATTTCCCACTGACAGAAAAAAACTCCGTTGGAGCTCGCTTTGTTTGTGCTACAAACAATAGATGTGGCAAGGCGTGTCCGGATGCGTGTATGCGTCGCGACATCCATTTGTGTGCTAGGCACCGCGACCGGCCACGCCCGTGTCTACGGCCACGCCGGCACAAAACCGAGGCAGAGCGGCAGAGGAGAGCGGCAGCAGAGAGGGGGTAGAGGAGAGCTCAACCGGTCACAGGGCACCGCCGCAAAAATAGCCTCTCTCCGTGAGTGAGTCAGCGGCGTGGCGCGGCGCGGCGGGCGGCCGGGCAGACTAAAAGCGCACCGGCTCCCCAACGGTCGGTCGGCGATTCACCTGGGAACCGCCGCCTCAGACGTCACCAGGTGGGGCGTGACGTCATCGAGGGTTGTCGAATCGAGACCCGCCGCGACCCCATCGGCTTCGGCAGCCATCCATAAGCAAACGGCGAAAGCCAGTTTACCGACGGTGGACTAGAAGAAGACGGTTTCACGAATCAGTATCGAGACTGTCGCCACTGAATCCGGACGGAGGTAACTCCGGTTAGTCATTGGGCTCGCACATAGCAATGCTGCACTTACCACGATAAGCCGCATTTTAAAATAAGTAGCATCAAGCGCCAAGTTTGAATAACACCAGCTAATTTATCAAGAGCTTCACCTCTCACGACAATATCACAGTCCCTCAATAAACAAAACCGAGCCTTGGTCGACATCATTTCCTCACCATTCTCGGCCTCTTTTCATAGTATCATCAGCGAAGCTAATATCTGTCCCGATTCGGTCTGATTCAGCGAGCCAATTATGACCGCTGCCGACGGTCGGCCTTGGGGCTCGGGTCCGTCCTCCCACAATGTCGGGACCGACAGGTAACGGAACACAACGGGGAGAACACGCCGCGCCCCGTCCCTCCCTCTGCTGGGGTCGCGCCGGGTCACGACCGCCGGCACAGGTCAGGGCAGTGACCGGAGCCCAGTCGTGCTGGCCAGTCTGCCAAGTAAAATTGTGGAGAAAGACCTTCTGAGAGCAGAGGAAGAGACTGGAGTATATTACTCCAAAAAGAAAACATACGTTGGACTATAATAGCAGATGTAAGCAGATTTTGCATGTTACAGGGCCGACTTTCGGCACTTTCAGTAAGGCCCCGTCACGCCTGGTGGTCAGCGACCGTAGCGTTCGCACCCTCAGCTCCCGGGGGCGGCAGCGGCAGTGAAGACTCGGGACGGGACGGGACGGGAAGGGGGAGCGATCGGACCGGAACCGAGCGTCGGCGACGCCAGATCGCTGAGCCGAGTGTGGCCCATGCCAGTATAAATAAATACTGGCGGCCGGTGGGCGGCCGGCGGACGGACGGCGGGCGCCGCAGACGGCCACGGGGGCGCCACTGGACGACTGACGAGCTGCCCGCAGACGACGGACGAGCTGCAGCGCCCTACACCCCCAGGGGCAGAGACATGCCGGACTTTCCTAGTGAGCCAGGGCATGTGCAAAAGAGTACATCAAGCCACTCGCTTTGTGAACCTAACACAGGAGTAGGCAAAGGATTGGTCCGATGAGCTTCAGTGTCCTGATGAGGAATACCGACAGGAGTCTAGGAGACAAGCGACTATTCAGCTTGGGGAGCATGAAGCACCACTAAAATCAGTCACAGACCAGTATCATCCCTGGCTTCTCCGCCGGTCACGACCGGTCATACGACCTCAATCCGCCTGCCACGTACGGCCGCTGCCCGACCAAAAAACGACGGCCAGGAAAACCAGGACACAGCACGCCTTCCATGAACACACCGCTACTCATACAAAGCACCAAGGACGACGATCACCCCGCGGCCTAGTAAATGTACATTTTTACCAGGCAGTCATACGATAATCTCTAAGTATGAAGACAGTATGAAGAACAGACAGCCGATATTCGCTGTATCACCTACCGCAGAACCCCACCGTCAACAGACCCGACTCCGAACACCGTGTCGACACGGAGCAGTCCCCGTGGTCCGCAATCCCGCCGTCAGCACACCGCACACCACCACGCGCCTCCCGCACGCCGGTCAGTCGGGCTCGCCGCCCTGTACTGCACTCGGCCGTCGGCGGCGACCGCCCCGGCGCGGCGGCGGCGGCGACCGCCCCGGCGCGGCGGCGGAGGCGACCGCCCCGGCGCGGCGGCGGCGGCGGCCCCTCCCACCGGCGCCGGCGAGGGTATCGGACGGGGCCTGATAGCGCACGGCCCGGCGCTCACACCACCAGGTGCCGGCCGGCAAGAAAGAGAAGGACTCACTCCACTAAAACAGTGAACTGGTGGACAGGTTCTGCCAGGTGGGCAGCTGGTAAACTTTACATATCAGATTGGTGGCATGTGACTCTAAAACAACGAAATTAATTGGTGACAGGTTATGTGCACCAGCTAGTCTGTAATATGAAAGGTGAACACTGGATATGCTCCATCAGTTCATAATGCATTCTGAGCACATCTAAAAAAGTACCCAATAAAAAGTATCTAATAAAAAGTACCCAGGCAAAGAGTGCAACACCAATATCAAGCATACTTCTAAAAACAGTTTTTCATAACTGATACCAATAATGAACTATGAAGTTCTTTATGGCTTCTTCATAAAACTTAAAGTTAAGGAAACATAGCAAAAATAAAATTGAGCTTAGGCAACAGCATGGATTCAAAAATACAGACCACTGACCAAAAAGATGTGAAAGCATTGTCATTAAATTAAGAATTATTATCAAAGCATTATTATGGTGTACATATACCTACATACCTAAATAAGCATTAGAACCATCAAAGGGAGCATTGAAGCCAGCTGAAGAGTGAGAAAGAAAGCAACAATCTGAGTGCAAAACATACCAATGCAGAAACACCAATAACTTTGAGAGGTCTATGTAAGATAGCAGAATTGAACCTTACTAACATAAACTACCCAGCTCAGTCGGGGAAACTATGGTAAAATCTGCTATTTTTAGCAGTCTGCTATTTTTAGCAGAAATCTGCTAAAAATGGGTACGCATGTGACGTCATCGTACCCAAATATAGCAGATTTGGGTACGGCCCCATACAAAAGCAGATCTGCACCCTAATTGAAGCAAATGCGCATCAAATGCCTGGCAGATTCATGATGAGAATAGTGCTGAGAGTGATCTCTGCTATTTTTGTTCAAATCCAACTATTTTCAAATTCATTATTTGAAAATAGTCGGATCTGAACAAAAATATCAGAGGACATTCTCAGCACTATTCTGATCATGAATCTCCCAGGCATTTGATAGGCATTTGATGCGCATTTGCTTCAATTAGGGTGCAGATCTGCTTTTGTATGGGGCCGTACCCAAATCTGCTATATTTGGGTACGATGACGTCACATGCGTACCCATTTTTAGCAGATTTCTGCTAAAAATAGCAGACTGCTAAAAATAGCAGATTTTACCATAGTTTCCCCGACTGAGCTATGGTTATTTGCTTGCCTCCAGTAACCCCTTAATGACACCAGTCACACAAAAAACTGCATTAAGTGATTAACATTTACAAAAGCATAAGTGATTTTTTTTTGCATGGCTGGTTTCTCATGCTTGATATTTTTAGAAACATGAATTGAAACAGCCTATGCTAAGTTGGCAAAATTGATCTATGAACTTATCATTATGAAATAACATGAACATAGCAAAGAATGAATGATCATAATCACAACTTTACAATGACAAAGACTCAATGCTAAAACTGGTTTACTGAAGGCAGCCTAATGTCCAATGAACAGGGACGCCTTAAAACCAACCATTTTCACGTTTACTGAATACACTTAGCCTACAGTTAGGCCCTGTCACTAGAAGTGTAACTAATATATTAAAGCTATTTCCTAGAAAAAAAAAACTCAATAAAATGTATATTTCATTGAAAGTTGAAGTAGGAATTGGAAAATTAACTATCTCAATCTGACTTAAATTGAATTGTTCCCTTGGTTTGGCATCTCAACCGGAACAGAAGGTGGATTGTGGAGTGAGCATGAAGAACAACTGTGCAAGAGGATGATAAAATAGGCATATTTCACTTTATACACAGAAAAATACGCAGGAATGAAAATAAATCGCTCCCAAATCGAATGTAACGACTCATGCTCCCCGGCAATTCTAGTCGACAATTACGGCGCAAACGAGAGTAAGCATCTTCAGCCTCAACTTTGTTTTGTACGAAAGATACAACATCTTAACTCTTGCATTTCATGCACTCACCTTGCAGAATGGTAGTGGGTCTGTCTTCAGAGCTTTAGCGACACTCACATCACCAGAAAAGCACAATCGTCCCGGGCCGAAATGCCCACACACAAATGCCACTCCTCCCACAAATTGCCAGAGCAGTGGTGCCAGATCTGAAATAAAGATTTATCACATTTCGGGATTTAGTCTCCCTAGCTAGGGATATTTGAGTAGAAATCCCAGCATATCAGCCAAAGCTGCCGTGCTGTCATCTATAGCTGTACAAGCTTGATCAAACACCCGCTAGAGTGCAGCACCTTCCGTGTAACGCTAGTCTTGGCTGGCTGGCCCTCTGCTGGTCCAAAATAGAGGTGGCAAAATATGGACTCGAGGACCCGGTCCAAAGAACCATTCTGGACCCATACGGGTCCAGACCGGTTCCTGGAAATTTTCTGACGAGTCCAACCGGGTCCTACCATAAACTGTACATCTTGCACACTACAAATTATTGCAAAATATGAAGTGAATGAAGTGAATGTTTCTTGGCAGTTGGCACACAGTAGCTCATGAGTATTCCCAGTGGGAAATAGGCTGCTTTACATGATGCAACTAATGATACCTACAAGTAGTTTTGATTAATCGACTTTTGGGGAACCGGGTCCAACTGGTTCCGATTCCAACTAAGGCCGGGTCCGACTGGTTCCAGAAGTGTCCAGCCGGGTCTGGTTCGAGTCTGGTTCCCAACATTTTCATCTTTTGCCACCTCTAGTCCAAAACTCGGCCCTCGTCTCACTACGTGGTAGCTCAAGCTGGTCGTTTTTTGGATAGGCCTATCACATTCACCAAGAACAGTTCGAAAGCTATGTTATCAGTCGATCATACATCGTTACAAAGACACGATGTTCCACTCTTTGGTTTGGGCAATGGGCATCGAGTTCGATCAGGTTTTCTCGGTTTTGTCGAGAAAAAAAAAATGCCTTCCTACCTACCAAACAGTGGAACGGGCCATGGCTCCCACTCGCCACTGCCACCTATCCCAGTTGCTAAGCAAACAGCAAGACATCACTGTAGGCGGCAGCACTATTGCGTCTACCTGCCTAATATGCCCTCGTCTCAGTAGTCCGAAATCGAAGCACCTGAAAATCCTGGCCACGGCCCACTGGCCAGTGGCCACTACCATGGGCCATGACTATTTTTTGTTGAGCTTCATGGACGCTTCTGTTAGAATTCCAGGGTAACCACGACGTCCTACTACTACAGCCTTCAAGTTATTCTCAATTGTCAAAACAAAGAATGTCTGCCAAGCAGCGAGGCAGCTAAGCCTCAGTCAGTGCTGCTCTGCTAAATCCTTTTTGTGTTATTTAGGTGTATAGGATTGAGCCCAGTATGTTGCATCGGAACTGTCGTTATACTGACCACGCGCTAATCCGTCAATTTCGAGTGAGGAAAACTTATCCAATGCGTGTTCCCCGATGATAACGCAATGGTAAAAGCTATAGGGGAGAATGTGTCTGGTGAATGCGGTCTCTGCTTAATAACGATCGATGAACATTTTTCTAGTTAAATCTACCTCCACTCTTATAATTAAAGTACATTTTATTGGAACAAATTACGGTTTTCCTGACCCCTGCAAAAGGCGCATTTAGGCACAGCATGCCCTAATTGCGCCACGTGAAATAATGCATTAAAGGACCATGCAAAGTCAGCCCTTTTACTGGCAAGGGCGATACTGTTCCCCTGAATGTCTTTATTGGTTAGTACGGGCCCCTCAGACCTTCTGGGGTCAAACTCCGGCTTCTAACACCAATTATTGAAAGAGCACTTTTTATAACAGCACCTGTACGATAACATTGAAAGCCTCGATGTCTTGACATAGCCCTAAATGCGCCCATGCCATGGCGCATTTTGTGTGGGCGCAATTCGTTATGTGTCATATGGCAGGAAAATATTGATAATGCTGCACAATAGGCATGTTGACCGTCTTGTTTTTTGTCTCTCCATACCAGGCACATATACCATAATACTACTAAAATCACTTTTTAACCACCCTTCCTCACGAACAGCAGTAGGAGTTCAACCCTAAGCAGGCTCAGGATAAGAAAACACCACTTTTTACAAAACCACTCCAGGTACGCGGTTTACAACTTTACGCTGACAGCGGTAGGTCGAAAAATATTGTTTTGATTATTGTTATTAATAAACTGTTTTCTAAACACCAATCGACCTATTGGGTTCACAGAAAATGACGAGGGCGCAATTAGGAGACCAAGCGCAGATTGGGCACTCTCCCCTAGGTACCGAGATACCTCAGAAGCTTTGCCAGCTGGGTGCCGCCCATCGCGTGACCGCTCGACGAATATCACGGTTATACGGCCTTACCTATCACCTACCGTCCTTCGAGACGGGCATACCTCTGTTGATACATACATCATGGGGGCAGCGATTAGCGAAAATCGAGAGAGTTCAGTTCAGCCTGCCTTACGGGACTCACCTGACATTAAGGTAAATAACCGCTTTCAAACAAATGCACAAGCAATACTTTTTTAGTTACCATCTTTTGAATAAAACTAATAAATAATACACTGAAAACAATTTCACCCAAAAACTGGCGAGTAAACCGGTGCCTCGCGGGCACCCCTATCCGCAACCATTTTTAACCACCCTCCCAGGAGTCAATTTAGAACATAACGCTTTCGCAATTCACTCTGGAGAGTAGTAACCCTCCACGACTATTCGCGTACCAGTGGCTCGCGACCCCTGCATCGAAAGGTATTCATCGACGCCTACCTGGCAGCAGCGCCCCACAAACCCCTAGGAGATGGGGTTACCCTCCACGCCTACCCTTCGCCGACCAAGTCACGAGGTCCAAAAAAACTCCCACGA